GCTAGAGAAACGGTGTTGTCTTCCACCTTAGGGATTACTAGCTGAAGTACCCGGCGTTGCCCGTGGAAGAAAACAAAATTCAATTAAAAAAGAAAAATTTCGAATTATGTGAAAAAAATTTTAATTTTTGAAAGAAGATTTTTAGCCTATGTCATTTCCAAGGTATCCAATATCAATGGGTTCCCTAAAAAAGTGTCAGCCGTTTGGCCAGCTATAAATATATATATACAAAAATATATATATTAGCGACTAAAGCTTTCGTATATAGAATAAACATTGAACAATTAACCTTTAGTTTAGTAATAATAATAATAAATGTTAAATACACGAGATTAAACGTTATAAAAAGGGGAAAATGTAAATTTTTAGAATATGTACCTTTAGTTTCTTGTAGTTGGCTAGGCTGTCTAGGAGGATATTAGAAACCGGTTTTCTTTTCCTGGCCAGCTGCTGCCGGGCAGATAGTGCGCTCTTAGCGTGCTCGGTGCAGTAACTAAAATATTTCAATCAATCAATCAACTTATATACCAATTGATCAATCTAAACGAAACCGGTTTGTTTTTGCGGTTTGCGTAAAAATTAATACAATTAATAGGCGAGTTCGCATTAATTACAAGATAAATTATGATAAACCATCGTTAATGCTTAAAATTCTAACCAAGCTAAATGGGTTAACAAATTCTCACAGACATCGGATAAAAATAATAATATAGTGTGACCCAAAAAAACGAGATTATGGATTTTCAGTCCTAATAATCTTTTTAAATCATTCGAAAAGTATAAAATTATTTATTTAAAGGGTTCGTTTTAGTAACTTTTTGTCGTCTGATTCTTTCATTTGACGACAAAGTATGTCGAATTCTAAAATTCGGATAAAAAGCCGGGTTTTTAAAAACTCAATACATACCTATCTCCCCTGGCGTAGAAAGGTGCGGGTTTAATACATGTATTTCCACTCTGAGGATCTAGACTAAACCCACAAGGTTTGAACGGAGCACTCTTATCAGAAAGGATATGTCTGAAGTACCCATCATAATCAACAGTCAAGACAAATTATGAAAATTTGTTCAAAAAATGATTGTAGCCAGTTCTTCTTAGTGCTTTCGTAATAAAACAAAATATTAATTTGCGCTTTTAGGAAATTTGACACAAAAGGTTTCGAAAAAAATACTGCACTGGCTGCAATAACTATAAGGACTATATAATGACTATAATGACTTTAATGACTTTAATGATTATAGTGACTTTAATAACTAAAATGACTTTAATGACTAAAATGACTATAAAGACTATGACTATGGTGACTATAACTATAATGACTATGACTTACTAAAATGACTTTGATGACTATAACTTTAATGACTATGACTTTAATGACTATGACTTTAATGACTTTGCTATGATGACTATGACTATAATGATTATGACTTCAATGAATATGACTTTAATGAATATGACTTTAATGATTATGACTTTAATCGCTATGATGACGTCAGTGATTAAAATGAATTCCTGATGCAGTAATCATAGCCAACTATCTTTTCTCCATGACAGTCGAACTGACTAATCAAAAAATTGATTATTTTTAACTTTTAAAATCAGCTAGGCATCTTCTATTTCAATTGTGAACATTTTCTCTTTGTATACATTAGAAAACAAAAAGTTTCGCGGATTTTATAAAAAAAAAATGTTGTGGATTTTCAAAATTTTCAAAAAACGAATTTTGTTATTGGCAAATTTTTAAAATTCTATCATCCATGAAACTTCCCTAGGGTCACGTGATGTCCCACAAAAAAATTGGGCTCGATCCGTTCCGCAGTTTTGACTTTTATTGGACACAAACAAACAAACAAACAAAGTATATATATAATATATATATATAGATTGCTGCGAGTCCAAATAAACATATAACCCCTATATAATAGCCCGTCTTTATAAAGAAGGATGAAATCAAACTATTTTCATGGTTAAAAAAATATGTTAAGATTGATTGAATCAAATCGAATCAAAGCAACTGTTAATCGGGAACTCGATTTTAAAAGAAATTGACACAAAATTGATTTTTCAATTTTTAAAACCTTAGATATGTTCTAAAACACTAAGAGTAGAAAATATTGTAGTTTGGCTGAAATCTTTGATAGATCAAGAAAACCTACATTATTTACAATTTGCAACTCTTACAGCACATGCTAGGACTACCTCAACCTCTTTAATCCTTAAAACCGGGTCAATTGTTAACATAAGAAGCATTAACAAGATCTGCACAGGGGAAAAAAGCCTATTCACATTGGTTGCATCTTGAATTTAGCGATTGGACAGAAAATAACAGATACAACACTGAATTCCTAGTTACCTGTAAATACACAGGTTTCCGTCTGGTGGAGTTTTGAGGGCCCGCGCCTGCGCAAACAGGATTTTTACCTCACTAGGCTGACGGCCACCGGCACTAGTTCCGGCCATTCGGCCAGGCTCAGGGACCGGTCGTCCAGTCGGCCGATACATTGTTGTCTGTAAAAAATACGGCGAATGATGTTTGTTAAGCATCAGACGACCGGCTGGAAACGAACACGAAGGTTCTTGATGCATTGACAAAAAAATGGCACCATCGGATTGAATATTTTTTTTTGCATAAAAACAATAGATGAGATATTTTTTGGTACCAGCTTTTCGCCAACACTGCACATAAAGAAAACTTATAATAAAAGATATTTAATATCCAACTATATTCAAACTAGAAATCTCATTTTTCTTTTTTAAACATTTAAGTTTCCTTTTTCCTTTGAAAAAAATACATAAAAAAAGATTAGGATTGGGAAATATCACTGATGTTAGATCTAGCAATGAGAGAAAAAAATAAAGCAATAAAAACAGAAAAAATAGCATCGCTAGATCTACAACTGGACGGCATTACCTTGTTCAGTAAGAAAAAATAAAACAAAAAAATACAAGTTTACAAATTGAATTTTCTTGCTTCAGTGCTCAATAGTAGGTTGTGGGATTCAGCATCTGTGGACAGTTTAGAGTGAGGAACCTCATCTTCTCAATGCAGTGCTTAGGATCCGGATCCATTGGATCCGCAAGATTTTGGCTTTCTGAATCCGGATTGGCAAAAAATGCGGATCCAACAGATCCGATTCGAAGGGGCAAAATATTAACTAAAAACTGCAAAAAACTCAAATCGAAACTGTCGAAAACAGATATGATAAAAATTTCCTAATCTCTGAATGGTTCATCTAGTTTAAGCATAAAAATAAGCTAAAAAAGAAAGAAAAATGATGTGACAATTCTGCTTTGTTAAAAAATTTCTTCAAATCTTAAAAAAATGGTCGTGACCTGGATCCGGATCCTTTTTTCCCAGTGCTGATCTCCATGAAAATTAAATGGATCCTAAGCACTGTCTTCATGATTTTCAAAAATCATTTTCCTACCTCTTCTCCAGTATATACACCAGCATGCTGAAGACAATCTTCTCCCTCACTATCCACACTCTCACAATCACTCTCTCCGTCTCCTATCCAACCATCAACAGCCATACCATCATCTTCATCCTAGTAAGTAGTAAAGGGAGGGTCAAACTTTAGAATGGTGAATATCAAGATATATTCTTCTGGTTTTACTAAACCCAAGATTATCTTAAAACACATTCGATATCCGAGAAAGAAATTAAAAATTCAACCAATCAGCGTGTCATGTTAAGATGTACTCTTTAACTTTTGAAAAACCGGTTTTGCTTTCGTAAGTTTTGGATCATTGTTTATTAAGACTGACGTTCAAAATGACAACAGTCCTAAAATATGTTTTTTAATATTTTCATATAAACATGATTAAATTTATATTTGTTTAAATGCTCTAAAAGCCGGCTTGTGAAAAGCTGACTTTAATTCAATCGGATGTTAGTCCTATCGATATAGCATTGTATCTGTACTTGTCATCAAACGTAACTTTTATACAGTTAGAAATATCCAAATAGAGGATTAAGAAGAAAATCAAAAGTGTGTACATTGGATAATAAGATTAAGCGATCGTGATTAAGGATATCTCATTCTAAAGTTTTCAGCTCAGGGTATATTTTCACAAAATCAAAATATAAATAAATTGCATATCGGCATTCATATTTTAGATTAAAATCTACCTGAATTCCTTCAGATTCCAAAGCAAGGAGACCTAAACCTAAACAAAATGGATTTCTTGAAAAATGAGAAACAATATCAGAGCCAGTGCTTAGGATCCATTTTATTTTGATGCGGATCCAGGTAATTTCTTTAAGATTTACTGAAAATTTTTAACAAAGCAGAATTCAAAATTTTTTTCTTCTTATTTTTTTTCTTTATTTTTATGTTAAAATTTGATGAACCATTCAGATATCAGGAAATTTGTATAATCTCTCTTTTTCAATAGTTCATATTTGGGTTCAGAGAGTAAAATTTTTTTTTGCAGTTTTTGGTTGATATTTTTCTTAAATATCTGAAATTCAGAGTTACCAGAAACGTTTTAGCTAAAAAAATTGAAATATTCAATGTGTATTGGCTATGTGTTGTATACTCGATAACTTCAAAAATAAATAATTAAAAAGTCAACCATCATATCGTGGGAATAGAAAACAATTTGCAAATATCTACATTAATGTTTCTTTGTTTAGGCTTTTAAACAAAGCATTTATTATTTGCGTAAATTTGCATATTATTGGTAACCTTACTAATATATTATTCGTAAATTTACCAATATATTATTTCCGTAATGATTATTAATTATAAGGGGGAACTAAAAAATTTGTTATGCAAAACTGAGCGGAAATAAATTAACCGTTACGAAGAAGGCTTCTTCATATGCGGGCTTTTCTTTATTAATTTTAATGCAAAAATAAAGTGTCGAAAATTTTCTCGTTTTTAACAGAATTAAACAAAATTTTTTTTTCAAGGAGAAATATTAAGAATAATATCGGCCTGTACTATCGTTAGGGTCCTGTAAGATCCTTCCCCCCCCTCACACAAAAAAATTGTCTATTGAATAAAATGTGTAGTCATATTATTGAGAGCTAGTTCTAAACTGTTTCCTGTAAGATGTAAGGATTAATCGGTTCATAGGTTGAACCAGTGAACGAGGACGGGAAGACTGGAGGGAAGGTTGGAGAAGAGGAGAGAGCAGAGAACGGATAAAAGAGATCTAGAGGAGGGAGTAGAGAGGGAGGAGAACCAACCTCTTGTTTAACCAGAGGCGGACCATCATCCTTGAATTTGTGAGGATTAACCTCTAGTAGAGGTTTGGCTCCGCCCTGGCAATAGAGAGGTTCTCCGGCGTATAGATGCGAGGGGATAGGTAGGAGTCCCTTACCAGAGTTCTCTCCCACTGAACCTTAGACCAGATTTAATTAATAACAAGTAGTTGAACCACGTAAAGCCAGTTCAACCTGTTCTCTTGTGCGCCGGGTCAAGCTGAAGGAGAAGTTCAATTATTTCTACTATTTATTAAATATGATCCCTGGTGATGTCGTCTAGTTCCACGGTATACTGTCGTCGCCGAATCCACCGCTAACGCCATTCTGACTGAACCCTCCGCCTCCCCAGCCTCCTCCACCCCGGGGTGTGGGACTGAAACCCGCCTTCTGTCCGCCGCGACTGACTGGATTGTATCGGTTTCCTCGTCCAGCTCCGGGCACTGCATTGAACCCATATCCAAACCCTACAAGGAGGGTTTACAAGGTTAAATAATATTTAAATTAATAACAACAGATTGTTTTTGATTTTTATATTAAGCTGTTTTTCTATGTTTGTGGCAACTTGATTTTTGCTTTTAGGTAAATAAAAACAATAGATAAGTATTAAGTAAATATTGCATACACTGATACAGTGCGACACATTAAACTATTGAATAAGAAGACGATTGTTTGACTCAAGTTATGATTTGAATTGCCTAATGGAAAAAACACATCAATTTGGACGCTAAATCCATTTCACTAAATAAATAAATTTTTAAGCTACTTGTGAATCTATTTGCTGTACAACACCATTACATAATATCGATTTCCAATCCCATAGTCTAATCTGTCTCACTACATGTTTGTAATTTAAAAAATCTATTAATTTCGGTGGAAAAATTTCTTTAGAGAAGGTCCAATTCAGTCATTATTTGCTATACCTGTAGCTGCCATGGAAGCAGCAATAGAGGGCGGTCCTCCCCTGCCCCGCCCTCTACCAGCTCCACCTCCCCTTCCTCCGCTCCAGGCGAATGTACCTGCATCTCCTACATCAAGGGAACCCAGGGACGGATCATCCATATACTGAGATAGAAGCATTAAAGGGACTGTTAAGGTAAATTAAAAGTGGTTTTAAGATAAAGACTAGAAATTTTGTGTAGGCGTTTATCGCGACTTTTATTAGTAAGATTTAGATAATATGTCCCTGTCTCAAGAAATTGATATGAAACTGTGTCAAATTTATACCAAAATATATACGTAATCTAGTCGACGGAGCCTTGAGACCAGATACTGCACTGCCATTTGTGGAAATTCTGGCCACGTGATACAGACGGAGCCACATGCCCAGATACTGCACTGCCATTTGTGGAAATTCTGGCCACGTGATACAGACGGAGCCACATGCATGACCAGATTCACCAGAATGACCAGATACTGCACTGCCATTTGTGAAAATTCTGGCCACGTGATACAGACGGAGCCACATGACCAGATACTGCACTGCCATTGGTGGAGATTCTAATCATGTGATAAAGACGGAGCCACATGACCAGATACTGCACTGCCATTGGTGGAAATTCTGGCCATATGATACCGACGTAACTAGATTAAAACCAATCATATCTTCCAATACCATATATATATATAAGTTTCGTATAACTCGGACACAGTTTTATATAATTTTCTTGAGACAGGAACATTAGGTAGATCTAATATTGGTCGCAATAAACTCCTAAAATGTTTAGGCTTTAAACTATACCCCTTCTAATTTTACCGTAACAGTACCTTTAAAAAAGGGATTGAGTCTTTGCCACAAGCTCAATTTTCTAATCCCTATATCTTTACAATCCAATGTTGTAGACCTTAGATATTTCAAACGGTAAATTCGGTTAGATCAAATAACCTAATTTTGAAATATCAAAGGGCTCCCACCATCTGGTTGTAAAGAAATAGAAATTAGGAAATCAAGGTTTATGACGAAGACTCAATTCCTTTAGCAAGTAAACATTGCCAATTCATAAAACAAGGAAAGTATTGCTAATTAACCTTCTGATGATGACAATAATTATCCAAATGTGTGTCAATCATTTGGTGCTCATTCATTAAATAAAAATTTATCGGTGTGAGTAACGTTTTCCTGTTTCCTTTTCCCATCGCTTCCTGTTTCTGTATCGGTTTCCTTTCCGCAATTCGTCCTTCTCAAACAACAAACTTTTCCCCGTGCAAGAGGGTCGTAGTAATTTTATAAATTCCCCCCCCCCCCGGGAGCATTAAAACCCTCTGTATCACCTCTTGTTGTCCAACTGAAAACCCCGCGTAGAACGCAGCTTTCTGTTTTCCATGATCCTCGGCCACCTTCACGTCCAACGGATGACTGTGTCCTAAAATATTATATTTTAAATTCTATATTTACAATGTTTGCTTAATTAGAACCATGAAAATAACCATTTTTCAATATCGACCAGCAATAAACCTACCCGGGGTTCAAGTTTTTAAACATGCAAATTTAACAAATTATGACGAAGGTAGAAGTTACAGGCAAATAGACATGGAAAAAATCGTCATTTTCAAATGCTCAAGTGTTTTTGAAAGCAACCTTTCCTTTAGAGACAAACTTGAGCCTGAAATTATAATTGGCTGTAAGATCAAACTAAGATGTATAAACTACCCATCTCGGATGATCGAGATCATGGTATGAGCATTGAAGGTATTTATACCTTGTTGTTTACCATGCTCTTCAGCCACCTTGACCTCCAGGGGCCGTTTACACTCTAAATATTCGTATCTTCAACACGTAGCATGTACCGTACATAATAACTTCATCACGTAGAATGTACCGTACATAATATCTTTAACACGCAGCATGTACCGTACATAATATCTTCAACACGTAGCATGTACCCTACATAATATCTTCAACACGTAGCATGTACCTAATATCTTCAACACGTAGCATGTACCCTACATAATATATTAAACACGCAGCATGTACCGTACATAATATCTTCAACACGTAGCATGTACCCTACATAATATCTTCAACACGTAGCATGTACCCTACATAATATATTAAACACGCAGCATGTACCGTACATAATATCTCCAACACGTAGCATGTACCCTACATACTATCTTCAACACGTGGCATGTACCGTACATAATATCTTCAACACGTAGCATGTACCATGCATAATATCTTTAACACGTAGCATGTACCCTACATAATATATTCAACACGTAGCATGTACCGTACATAATATCTTCAACACGTAGCATGTACCCTACATAATATCTTCAACACGTAGCATGTACCCTACATACTATCTTCAAAACGTAGCATGTATCGTACATAATATCTTCAACACGTAGCATGAACCCTACATAATATCTTCAACACGTAGCATACCGTACATAATATCTTCAACACGTAGCATGTACCCTACATACTATCTTCAAAACGTAGCATGTATCGTACATAATATCTTCAACACGTAGCATGAACCCTACATAATATCTTCAACACGCAGCATGTACCGTACATAATATCTTCAACACGAAGCATATATCGTACATAATAACTTTAACACGCAGCATGAATCGTACATAATAACCTAACATATTTTTTGTACTGGCGTAAATAATAAATTTAACACATGTTCTGTATCGTACATAATGTCTCAAACGCGTATCATGTGCCCAATCTGGTAGATTTGTTGTCTGAAACTGAAAGACACTAAAAAACAAATATGCAATAAAACAAAATTCAATTTTGAACATAAAGGATTTACCTTTGGAAAATCTATAATTTTAAGTGTTTGTTACCCCCCAAGAAAATAGTTATTTTCCACGATCAAAAGTTTTCATCTCCGATTGTTCTTCTAACCTGGGATTAGGTATCCGTTGAGCTGTGAGATGGCATAGTCCGCTTCGGATTTTTTACTAAATCTGATGAATGCAATTCCCTTGTTCCGACCATTCTGATCCTTCAATACCAAACCATCATTAAGTAAAAATCAGAAATTCAGTGTTCTTCGCGCCAATCTGTTATGATTTAGCCTTGAATTTTTATGTATCCATCTAATTAACTAAGTCTTTTTTACTAATAACATCTTCTGAACTTTAAAAAAAATTTCTGGCAAAATAACATTTTTTTTCCTAGCCAAAAAATGATTTATGAAAACAAATAAGAATACAAAAGAATGGCATTAAGGGTACATTTATATAATTATGTATTAAAAACAAAGTAATACAAAAAGATGATTTCCTTTAAAACGTTTCGTGTAAGAATACTCCCATACGGTGCAAACAGATTTAGCAGGTCTTCTTCTGATATACCTGGAGAATAATAATCATGATAATAATATTAATAATCATAATAGTAATAATCATGATGATAATCATAATAATAATCATGATGATAATAATATTAATAATCATAATAATAATAATAATAATCATTGTTATAATAATAATAATACACAGTGTGCTTGAAGGACCTCTAAGAGCTAAGAAAAATCCATGCTTTTTTGAGATTCTAAAAGAGCTCATCAAGACGAACATTTTGCGATATGTTAGCACTTTTTCCCAAGGCGAATTCTTCTGCAATTCGCATATTTGCAAAGTATTGTTTTGTTGACATTTTTCACCTTTTTATATAGAAACTTACTTTAAACATTTTGGAAAAATACCCGTATATAGATGTAAAAATTACTTCAATATACTCTGTTTTAGCTGAGGATATAATTATAATGTTTTCTCTTTATTTTTGACCTCTAATACTGATTTATAAGCTTTAATGGTGCAATTGAATATGTGTACTGGAGATTTACAGTTGTATTTCCTACCAGAGAAGACCTGCTTAATGTCCAAGAGCTTTTGTTTACTCTTTGTTCTAAACATTTCTCTATCCTTTATTCTAATCCTTTTTTTACCTTTTTACCCCAAACTCTAGACCTTCCCCTTATCATTTACTATAGACCTTTCCTTATCCTCTATTCTATTCCTTTATATACCCCATACTCCTTTCCCCTCATCATTTATATAGACCTTTCCTTATCCTCTATATACCCCATACTCCTTTCCCCTTATCATTTACTCTAGACCTTTCCTTATCCTTTATTCTAATTCTTTATAAACCCCATACTCCATTCTTCTTTTCATTTACTCTAGACCTTTCCCCTTATCATTTACTCTAGGCCTTTCCCCTAAACATCAGAGGAAAAGCATATTTATGATAATGATGATAATGATAACTAAAGATAATAATAACGAAATATAATAAAAACAGTATCATTAACAAAAACAATAGAAACAGGATTAAAAATGTTGACAAAAATAATAGCAATAATAATAATTTAAAATAAAAAAACAGTTATAACAATAATGATAATTAACAATAATAATAACAACATAACACAACCATAAATAATTTCCATTATAAAATCAATTAGCAATATTAACCTGGAGGAACATTTCCGATATAAAGGTTTGTGTTTCTAGAAATATTTCAAATAAATCATCAAATTTGACATTTTGTTGAAATATTTTCAATCTTTACTATATTGGTGTTTGCCGTACGATCAGGGATTTCGTCATGAATAATTATAGGGAATGGAGAAATAATGATTTTCTATGTATAAAGGGTAATACCCGATTTACAATTGAACCCTTTAAAGGGACAGACCGACTATGTAAAGTAGTTAAACTGAATATGCAGTGTTGTGGACAAAGCCTTTAGGATTCATTTGAGACATAAAACTTTTTAAAGATCTGTAAATCCTGAGTTTGAGTGCAATATTGATGTTCAAAATCGTATTTTTTGCCCACAACACTGCATACTCAGTTCAACTACCTTAAATAGCCGGTCTGTCCCTTTAAACCTTTATCTAATCAATAATGTGGAAGATATTGTCGTTTTTCTCGTAATTCTCACATGCCCTCCACTACTTCTGTAGCAAGAAATCTGCAACTTCCTTTTTCATCGCCTGAATTATTGAAACCAACATTTTATAAACAGAAATAAAGAATATCTCTTTGATTCTTGATCAGAAAGGTTTTAAAGGAACAATTGTGAATTAGAATATGCATCTCAATAAACGATGATCACTCCAAATTACGTCTCTTTTACTATATACGAATACGTCGAAAAATAATCGATGACTAATTAGGTTGTAATATCATAATCTGAATAATTTGTTTGAAATTAAATTGATTTTTATTACGCTCCGAGTCATATATTGCAACTTTCTGAATTTGTTGATTCTACGTTCTTCAATACAAGTCGTTTCTAACAATTTTCTCCTTATGGACGTAACAGATAGAAGTAAGATTAGTAGCGATCAAAAGCGTTTATTTTTCGCCGCAAGCCCCCCTTTCATTTTTTACGAACACTCCCTTTAAGGGATTACCAAAGATATTTTTCACTTCTGTTTCTTCATTATTTCTTTATTTTGATTAATGCATTTAAGGTTTAAAAAAGGGCAAATTTCCTGAATAATTCGACTAAGGTAAAAAACTGAATTTAAAATTATGATAAACTTAGATCAAAATTTTTTGAAAATTTTCCTAATGTCAGCGGTATTAGGGCGACTGTATGACACTTTAATTCTCTTTATTCTTGACTAAATCATTATTACCCCCGAAACACACCTGATAGGGGCTGGAGGGAAGATGTTATATCAATTAGAAAATTAAAAAGTTCCAGCTTTTAAGGCTTATTCTATTGTGTGTTCTTTTGGTTCGTTTAAACACATGTCAAGTTTTTAGACTACCAAAAGACACCACAAAGCTTACATTTAACAAAATTGTATTTTCTGAAAACTTACATCTAACTTTTTGATAAACGATGGTTTGGTCGTTTTTCAATCCTATCTTGCGTCAAGCAAAAAAAAACCTAACTGATTTCTTATATTAATTTTGATTTTACATTTTTGAAATCGAGAAAATCTTTTCTAAAAAAAGGAAAGGTCCCTAATTTTAAAAAAGTTTACCTGGTATTGTACAAAACCGTATCCGTAGCTGTACCCTGATGATTTATCCCGCATTATTTTAGCGGATACTAGTGGACCACAGGTGATAAACATACTGTACATTTCGTTATCCGTCATCGACTAAATAGATATTATCATTAGCGATTCTAAATATCTGAGGAACCTACACAAACTCTGGTTCTGTACGAATTATATTTATGTTTGTTTTTAATCTTTGTGACAGAAACAATCTGAAGAACTGACGAGGGTCAACCCAGACCGAAATATATTTTCAATAAATGTGGAACTAACATCTACTTTTTTACTCTACAGAGATTTGGTCCATCCCATCACCGAATTTTAGATTTATATGTTTTATGCATGTTCTATAGAGTACAGTACAAACTATGTGTATAATTAACACCGAACTTGAAATAAATGATACAAAAAAGGTACAGTGCTATCAACAACATTGGTAAAATAAACCAGGAGAATTAGAAAATGGTGTACACTGTACAATTAAATGCAGTACAGTGCAATACTGTACAAAAGAATGGTGTATGTTAAAAGTGAAAAACTTTTCAAATGAATGGTGTACACCAAGGTCCAAGGTGCTATATAAACGAACAGTGTACACCAAGATACATTACTGTACACACGAACAGAAGTACACTAGGATACAAAACTATACAAAAGAAAGGTACACATTAATAATTGATCCCATTTATGAAGAAATGAACGGTGTACACCAAGGTCCGAAACTGTACAAATGAACGTTGTACACCAAGATCCTTAACCATATAAATCAAAGGTGTACAACCAAATGATAGGTGCGAATGTACAGTGTGCACTAAGATGCAGTATAGTACACCAATGCACCTGTGGTAAATAGTTTATGATAAGATTAGTTCTATCTTCTCCTTCATCTCTAGGCCGATCTAACGGAGCGTCAAAAACCTAGAAATAATAAAAATTTAGTAAAAGTAAGGTTCCAACAAAATAACTTTGTGGTTCAATATCAAATGGGAAAGAAAGATTAAAAACATATATATAACATGCAATTTAAAGTCGTAAAATTAATAAAGGAGGGCCGGGGCTGGGGGTTCCTAAAACACCCCACCCCTGGTCCTTGGAAAGAAACCCCACCTCAGTTGTATCTTGATGCCTCTCCATAATGTACTGCTAGACTCTGAAAAAATACACAATTTCTGATTCACACTGCAATATATAATACATTTTGTACAGTTTTAATATTTAATCTATAAATTCTACTGAAACAACTGGAAATCAGTTTGTGCTGAAAAATGTGCTAAATTTAATCAAAAATCTAGAAAAAAAACTAAAACAAAACGTCTGCATTGTTATTCAGTTTTTTTGTTTTGTTTAATCTGACCGGAGTGAAACGATTGAATGAGTGAGCAACAAAAAAACTCAATTTTCATTTCGTTTGTTACTTTTCACATTCAAAATAAGAATTTTCACAATAATAATTTTCAAAGATTCAAAATTTGTTACGAGATGAACTTTGAACAAATAAACATGCAATTGTTAAGAAAATACTATATCACAAGACAAAATTGTAGTTTTTATTTCGGTAATTGATAAGTAGATGATTTTTAGTTTTTCAAATAAGGAAGTATAAATTCCAGTCCCTTTTTACCCCCTCCCTCTCCTTTAAATACACCATTTGAGAGTCCCGTTTTTTAATTTGTGGAACGAATGGCTTCAACTTTTGAATTAATTTATGTTGGTATATAAATAAATATACACAAATTGTGGTGCAAAACAAAACAATTAAATCAAATTTTTTAAAAACATTTTTTGTGAACAAGATAGATGTAGAGATTACTGTAGACTGTAGAATTCTTAACTTTTAATGTCTACTCTGCTGTTAAGGTTTAAAACCTTGGATAAACTGAATAATAACACTGAGAACTGGGACAGTTAATTTTTTTAAATATTTTCATATTTCCTTATTTAGTTCAAGAAGTCACTTTCTAATTCGTTTGACCAAAGATTCGATTTTGTTCTCCGTTTTACTGATATCATTGAACATTTTACATTTGATACAACAGTACTGACATAATTATATTAAGATAGGACAATCAAAGATTTCAAAGACATTTCAAAAATAATTTTTTCAAAACATTTTTCAAAAATATTATAGCAAGAATTCTAGAAGAGGGGGACTTAAAGGGACTGTAAGCGTAATTTCAAGTGACCCTCTATGCAAAGATGGCAATGTTGATTTACAACAGTACCAATAAAACCTTTGTTTTATCAAGAATGAATTGGATAGAAATGATTTTTATTCGTCGTTTCTCTGAAAAAGTGACTTGTGCATTTAATGTGAGTAGGAACAATGGAGAAATTATGAGAATTAAATACTCTTCGAGTCATAAAAACGACGTTATCTTCCACATTTTTAACCTTACAGTTGTAAATCAGGAATTGACATTTTTGCGTGTGGTTTCACTTGAAATTACGCTTACAATCCCTTTAATTATTATTTTATTAAAGAATAGGTTTGAAGGTTGGTAAAGAGGGATCTCTCATGTTTTATCTGCGCTGTATTTTATGTGGTGGAGGCATGGATTCAATATCTGGTTTTCTCCACCGTTGATGTTGGATAAAGTCAAGGAGTAGCTGCTCTGTCACAGGGTCCTACACGCACAAACACTTGATGCTATGCAAACTGACCTAGAGGAACCCGACCTCAAGGGTATTTTAACAACTTAAATAATTTATACAAAAAAATCGAGCAGTTTCATCTCACTAAAATATCGAGTAGTTTCATCTCACTAAAATATCGAGTAGTTTCATCTCACTAAAAACTTAATTTTACCCTTTGAAGGTCGAAAACATCTTAAGGCCTGAAAAAAAACTTTAAGCAAGAAATAAACAACTTTTCTTTGTCATTCAAAATGGTAATGGCAATCTCAATGGAATCCCCAGACCGCCTTCAGGGCGCAGCTCATCACATGCAATCTGCGGGCTGGAGGCCCAATCAACAGGGGATTCAAATATAAGATGGAATTTAGCTTAAATTAAACTTTGGAAGTTTGAACGTCAGTAATAAATTGTGTTTTTACTGTTCTCTCATTGGTCCGACCTTTAAAATAAAACCACTTAACGAAAAATTGGGTGAAAATCCACTAAATTAAGATGAAACCCCGTGGATGTAATGTATATACGTCTCAAAATCATCTTTTGGCCGTAATCCCGATTCCATGTTAGCAGGGGTTTATAATTTCTTAAAAAATTATTTTACTTCCCTCCCCTTTAAAAATAATGCCCCCCCCCCCCCAAAGAAGTTAAATATGTTTGCGTGGAGCACAATTGGGGAAAATCAATTAATATTTTGAAAAAATCAATGAATATGGGACAAAAAGCCCAAAAAGTTGGCTTTAGATGTCGAATTTTTCAACCCTCCCACCTTCCCACATCATTAAAAATTATTTCCCCGTTAGCTTATAATTCAGAAGTTATATTGCATTAACAAGTGTTATGTTTCCTTAATACTATTAATAACAGAAACTGCAGTTTTGTAACCGTTTGGGAAACTTTTATCCGTTCTTTCTCTCATAAACGTCCACTAGACAATCATACAAATAATAATAACTATTCTTCAAGATATTCTAATACATAAATAATTATAATTTTTAACATTGTAGCAGCATTATATTTGGCACTACGGGACATTTCATTTCATGTAAAAAAAGAGAAGTTTCAAAGAAAGTAAATGATTAATATGCGAAATGTCCATATTTGAGTTGTATTTCAATAAAACTTTTTTTCTACGGCTATGTTATTTTTTCTCTTATAAAGTAGAAATTATATGTTCCTGGTTATTATCCCATTTACATTCTATAATTTTGTTGTCCAGATTCTACGGTTTCAGCATTCAATCATACAGGTTAAAAATATAAAATATTTAATTTGTGCACAAAAAATAAGATTAGAGAAAAGGAGGGTTCAGTCGCCCAAATAATCTGTATCATTGGGAAAACATAAAATAAAAACATCAATCAGACATTTAAAAACCGTATACGCGCGGGATTTATCTAATTCATGAAAATTTCAGTTCTTAGAAAAAATACATCCATGAGAAATATTGTAATGTAAAAATATGTGAATGTTGAATTTCCTTGATATCTTTGTTGATTTTCATCTGAGCGAAGGGTGTGTCTAATCCACCCACATACAACTGACCGATTTGTCTAGATCCAACAAATCGTTACTTTTTCCCGGCTTTAAATGTTCAAAAAATCAAAAAAGATTTTTTGAGAAAGAAGTCTTCGACGATCACCAAAAACAAATCACATCTGTTACTTATCTACGATCAAGATTAACAGGATTGCACAGAAATGATTAGACTGGAATGAAGACTAAAAATTCTTAAAATATGACGATCCTTGGGGTAAATTAGTTGTCTTTACATGGCTAAATTTATGATTTGACATAATGTGAAACAAGTTTACATGAGCATGAAAACAGACATCATAAATACTGTGCAGTCATCTCTAAAGTCTCATCCTTTAAGCGTAACTCTGTATGTATATCTATCTATCTATATAAACTTTTGCAAAATAAAATAACGTTAGATTTCCTTGGTAGAAGACCTCGACCTTCTTCTCGAACAATCTTCAGCTTAAAGTCTACGGAGTTCATACTAAAACATTTCTGGAGATTAGATTTTAATTGTCTGCAAAAAACTGATAAAATATATTGTATGTCCTGTTTTTACAGTTTTGTATACAGTTTTGTATGTACTGTTCTTACAGTTTTGTATGTACTGTTCTTATAGTTTTGTATGTCCTGTTTTTACAGTATTGTATACAGTTTTGTATGTACTGTTCTTATAGTTTTGTATGTACTGTTCTTATAGTTTTGTATGTACTGTTTTTACAGTATTGCGTGTACTGTTTTTACAGTTTTGTATGTACTGTTTTTACAGTATTTGTTCTGCATAAAATTATGCTTTTTTAACTATATCTATATTTTTCATGTTCCTGTATAAAGAGGAGGAGAGAGAAAGCCTCAGGAGATACACAAAATAAAAATACTGTTTATGTTTACTGTAAAATATTATGTTAAAGCGGTGGCTGGGAAGCAATATTTATATTAAAGTTTTTTTTCATTGAATTATTAAAATGTCAAATTTACCTAAAGCATATCATGATTGATTTTTAAATCAAATAATTACAGAATACAAAATGTAGTGATTATTTCCACTAAAGTATCAGTAACCTGATACCCGCACTGAAAGGTTTTTATTTATTTTCTTCACAAAGAATTGAAAAAAGTCCAATCTAAATCTTGTTCTTCATGTTTGATTTTATACATTCCTAAAAATATGTGTGTTCATAAAATTAACCCCCTGTATTTTTAGCAACTCTATATTGGGATCAAGAATAAAGAGAGAAGACCCAAGTGTTGATTCAAGGGGAAGGGAGAAAGATGGCTAGGTAGAAAAAAACTAGGATAAAGAGAGAGATAGAATTAGAAGGTCTTTGAATAGCTAAAACTAGCTTGGATACTTAGCGAGGTCCAAGTAAGGTACTAAAACACTCGCGAAACACTATTATGTGTACTGCTTTTTACAGTTTTATATGAACTGTTTTTACAGTTTTGTATGTACTGTTTTTACAGTTTTGTATGTACTGTTTTTACAGTATTGTGTGTACAGTTTTTTACGGTACTTTCTGTACTTTGCTAAAATTGAAACCAAAGAAAACAATGAATTGTGGGGAAAATAGTAAAGAAATGTAATTTCCCTGTCCTGTCCTGTTCTATGTACCTGGCTGGTTTCCATTTAAGTACTGTATCATCTTGGCCAGGATGGTAGGGTTCTCTAGAAATACAAATACTAAATAATTTCATCGGACGCGTAACTAAACATTTAGCAAGGGGGGGTAAAAGTAAAAATATTTTGCGAAAAAAATTTGCATGTTTATTATACTCAAGAATGGAACCATGGAAAAACTACCTTACCAATTAAGAATATTTTTGGGGCAAATTTTTATGTTTCCCCCCATTCATTTCATTTTGGGGCAAATTTGTGTGGGAAAAATCTTAAATTTATATTTCAGGAGAAAATTTTGTTTTTGGGGGAAATTTTTTATTTAAGGGCATTTTTAAAATAGACGAAGAGGCTTTTTTAATCATTGGGTAATTTCCTTTCATGCTTATCATCTAGTAAACCTTTAATACTTATCCTCTAGTGGTTAGTATACCTTCCGGGTTGGAAGATAAGTACATCAGGTTCAAAAGCCCTTTACTAAACTTATCCTTTAGTAGTAAGCATTACCTTTAATACTTATCTTGTAGTAGTAAGTATACACTATACCTGCCTGGTTGGAAGATAAGTCCATCAGGTTAATGAACTAATCCTTTAGTAAACTTATCCTTCAGTAGTAAGTATTACCTTTAATACTTATCTTGTAGTAGTAAGTATACCTGCCGGGTTGGAAGATAAGTCCATCAGGTTCATGAGCTAATCCTTTAGTAAACTTATCCTCTAGTAGTTTATATGTATCACTGACATCCCAGAATTCCTTTTTACGAACAGAAAATGGTTCTTTTGTTTTGTCAATAAGACCTGAAATAAATTAAAATTAAATGAAAATGAAAGTCTTTCTTGAAGGGAGTGACCGGCAATGTTCGGTAGTTGAACTGAGAATGTAATATTGTGGAGAATGTTTTTAGGATTCATTTGAGACATAAAAAACGTTTCAATGATGTATAATTACTGAGTTTGAGCACAAAGTCGACGTTAAAAATCATCCATTTGGTTGGTTACGTTTAGAGAATCGATTTTTAAAATCTTTTTAAATAACGTCGACAAAAAATGAAGTAAAAATTCTACAGTAAACTAATTAGATGTCTTGGAACAGGTTGAGAAAATAAAAATTAACCATTATGTTCGAAATTAGCCTAACAATAAAATATTGCAATGTTTACACTATATATTACCTTGTGTTATGTATGTATTTCTAGCTCCAACAATTTCCTTGTCTATGCATATAAGCCGTGTACCGAAATCTACCTTCCCAACCTCGTTTCCTTCAAACCTAGACAAAACACTAATTTTAAAAGGACTGTTCCATCAAACCTAGACAATACACTTATTAAAGGGACTGTTTCCTTCAAACCTAGATAATACACTCATTAAAGGGACTGTTTCCTTCAAACCTAGACCACACACTTATTAAAAGGACTGTTTCCTTTTAACCTAGACAATACACTTATTAAAGAGACTGTTTCCTTCAAACCTAGACAAAACACTTATTAAAAGAACTGTTTCCGTCTAACCTAGATACACTTATTACAGGAACTGTTTCCTTCAAACCTAGACAATACACTCATTAAAGGAACTGTTTCCTTCAAACCTAGATAATACGCTCATTAAAGGGGCCGTTTCCTTCTAACCTAGACAAAACGCTCATTGAAGGGATCGTTTCCTTCTAACCTAGACAATAGACTCATAAAAAGGGATCAACCTTCCCAACCTTGTTTCCTTCAAACCTGGACAAAACACTAATTAAAAGGACTGTTTCCTTCTAACCTAGAATTCACTCATTAAAGGGACTGTTTCCATCAAACCTAGACAATACACTAATTAAAGGGACTGTTTCCTTATAACCTAGACAAAACACTAATTAAAGGGACTGTTTCCTTCTAACCTAGACAAAACACTCATTAAAGGGACTGTTTCCTTCAAACCTAGATAATACACTCATTAAAGGGCCTGTTTCCTTCTAACCTAGACAAAACACTAATTAAACCATACTACTGATCAACGTTATTGCAAGGACACTATAGTTCAGGAGTATCAGGAGAGATTATACAGCCCCGCCCAAGTTGGAGAACCCAGACCACCATGGGTGAGCACACTCAAACACTCGGCCATTTAAAATTGTCAGAAATCAAAAGCGGTACGATTTTCAAAAAATGTCCATTTTCAAAATGATTTTCTTAAAATAAAAAAAATGGAATTCCAGCAATTCTTGAACTCTTACTAACGCTTACTCTCCAGAAATCCCTCTACATACCTATTTCAAGCGATAAAAAAGATCGCCTTTTACTCGACGGTTCTTTTACTCTTTTTTTAACCATCATTGATAAACATTTTTTGTTTAGTTCCTTAATAATTTCGTAATTAAATGATAAAAATTGTTGGGAAAAAATGTTTCGTTTTTTGAGAAATAAACGTTTTCAATATGTCATGCGCAAACACACTTTAATATTATTCGGGGTAAAACAACTTACAGCATATTTTTTTCGTTTTTGTTCTGTTTCTTTTAAGTGATCCGACTATTCTCGAGGTTTCTGTCGATTGCAATGTAAAGAAAACTATAAAAAATAAAAACCTGATAATATCATAGACTAGAAATCTAGGAAACTTCTGCCCTTGTACTGTATCAATCACCATCTCTCCATCTACAAATATATAATAAANGTTCTTAATTTGAAAGTAATGCATGTGGTGTGATTGTTTCCTTAGTTTAGTTTGTTTGTTTACCAATGATTTTGCTCGTTCTTTAAGTTGATACTATATTTAGATACAGCATGTTAAATGTGCCCTGAGTTTTTTAGATGGAGAGAAGGTATAGTAGTGGGTTGTCTTAATCTACTGAACAATATCGTGTCTTCATTTATAGAAGAAATCATTTTCTGGATATTAGATCCTAAATCTTCCAAAAAGAGGATATTAAAGCAGGTTATCTAGTAAGAATCAGTTTGACCTAAACTGATCAAGATCTTTGTCTTTTATTCATGAAGCAAGATTTACTGGTTTGTTTTCATTGCTATGGAGTGATGGAAAAAAGTGTGACACTAATATTTCAATGATAAGTTTTTATACTTCTTTTTGGTTTTGATTATGGTTTCACTTCATCATCTCGAACTATGTGAGATATTGTGACTCTGACTGAAAAGCTCTGACCATACTATTACAAGTATGCAGAGATTTGCAAAATCTCACCAAACTTGGTTTGAAATGAAGATGAACTAAAAAAATTTATAAAGTAGGCAGTCGGGCAGTATGCTTTAAGACTCGGCAGTTTGATGAAAGTGTCTAATGTAAGGCTAAAGGCATCGTCCATATTTTTGGAAATGGTCAGAAAATGTTAATTTCCACTCTTCTGTCAGGACTAGGGTTGAGATTCAAATTGATATTTCTGACTTAAGGTATATCAATACTTCAAAAAACGAAAAAGGTAAGTGAGCATGAAAAGGTAAGTGAGCATGTTTTACTAAAGTAAAAAAAGGTAAGTTTGCATGTTTTAATATAAAAGAAAAAGGTAAGTGAGCATGTTGTTTTTAAGTTAAAAAAGGTAAGTTGGCATGTATTAATGTAAAAGAAAAAGGTGAGTTTGCCCTCTGCATGTTGTCAGTACAAAATAATTAAGTTAATATCAATGTTGATCAATATAAGGAGCGTGTAAGAATGAATATTCTTTAACTAGTGTAAGAATTTCCATTCTTTAATGCTTGGAGCGTGTAAGAATATACATTCTTTCACGCTCTGACCGTGTAATAATTTCCATTCTTACACGGTCTGAGCGTTAAGGAATGAAAATTCTACACATACAATGTAAGAATAAGCATTCTTAAACGCAAGGAAGCGAACAATATTAAAATTGTTCCTCCTGAACCGTGTAATAATGGGAATTCTTACACGATAGGTTTACTACTATGGAACCGAACAGATATGAAATAATAGAAGATCTGAAAGGGCGACATGTAACCCCCAGACCGGCCTCAGTGTGCATTTTTCATTTTTATTTTTGAAAAGCCAGTATTCACTGTCTATCCAGATTACAGAACTACTAGATTTTCAAAGCTCTACAGAAAAAGGGATATGTATGAGATCATTCATATTTTTGACCAAAATATTCAATTTTGCGGATAAGTATACTTATTCTAAATCTGCAAGCTAGAAAATAGAGAGATTTCACGATTATCAGATTTGTTCCTTGTTCCATCAGCTTTCCAGGATACTTTGTAGGGTTTATCCTGTATAAACCTGAGATTCTGTTTATCCATGGATACAGGCTGACAACCAGGGAAGCCACCTATACAAAATAGAAAATTTTTAAATATATTTTGAAGAACTGATTGTCGAAAATTTTAGGATGAAAATAATAAGTTGAACATCATTTGTCAAAATTTTCACTCGTCTTAAACTTCTTACCTAAAAAACTTCTTACTTTTTCCATTTCCTAATATAAATACTTGGGGGAAATGATTTCACGTAACATTTTTTAAGACATATAAAAAACTTATGCACAAAGAGGAATGGTTTGCAGGCCAAAATGATTCAAGAGTGTTCGATTTACAATTGAAACTTTGGAAATTAAAAAAAGTTAATTTAATGCTTTTTATCCATAAATATCCGCGATTTTTTATCAAACATTTTGTTAATAAATTATTTAATTACCTTTACTCCATTCGCAGATTTTCTGCACTTTCTTCTGAATAGTTGATAGTTTAGGTTGTGTAATGAAGAGTCTAACTCCAGGTACTCCTTCCATAAACTTTCCACCTCGTTTAGGCATCTTGTGCTTAGGTTGCTGAACAGGTTCCCCATCCTCATCTACACCAGTCTCTTCCTAGACATTAGGATCAGGATCGAGATTATTTGGCATTTTGCAAATGATAATACGATGAATTAATAAAACTCTCACGAGACTTGTAGACACAAAATCGAATGGATCATAAGCATTCAGTAGAGACATCGACATGAACATGAACACGAACATGAAAACGAACACGAACACGAACACGAACACGAACATGAACATAAGCATCAGCATCAGCATCAGCATGAACATCAGCATGAACATCAACGTCAGAATTAACATGAACATGAACTTCATCATGCACATGAAGAACTTACCTCGTAACACCAGTCTGGTAATTCAGGTGCAGGAGGTGCATCATCAGGGTCCCCAGCATACCTTCGGAACAATTCCTTCAAGTACGCTTCCTTGTAAATACCTGACAAAAATAAGATAAACTACAGGGGATAAATTAATTTACATTTTTTTCAAATACACACCACACCTCCCCTTCACACCTTTATTCTTCGATTCTCATTCTTAATTAAAGGGACTGTAAGCGTAATTTCATGTGACCCTTCTTGCAAAAATGGCAATGCCCGATTTACAACAGTACCCTTGGAAGCTTTTTCTGATCAAGTTCAAATCAGATATCAATGTTTTGTTTCTTTAAAACTGTTCATTTTCATTTGCGGTTTCTCTGCGAAAGTGACTTGCACATTTCTTGCTTAGGAGAAACTCACAGAAATAGACACTTTTCGAGTCAGAAAAACGACGTTATCTTCCACATTTTTTTATCAGATTACGGTTTCATCGGGCATTTCCATATTTGCATGGAGGGTCACTTGAAATTACGCTTACAGTCCCTTTAAGAAGTTATAAGAAGAGGTAAAAAGCAAGCAAATTTTATTTCCATTTGTGAACTTATACTCCGGAATGAATAAAAAACACCTCTGCCAAAATTAAAGTAAAAAAGTTTTTAACATTAATGGTGAAATTTAAAAAAAATAATTTTCTACATAAAAAAAAACATACTTTTCTAATTCTTAGGCACATGGCATAATTTTCATTTTTTTTGTAAATTCGAAAAAATCTGTATTTTAAGTTTTAAAAAAGTCGAACCTGGAGTTCTAGCAGCAATAAACGAATTGACCGCCATGTCAACGGACCAATCAAAAGCTTCGATCAGGAAAGCACTCACAAGAAAACCTTAAAAAACAGATTTAAACAAAGGAATTATAACTTCTAAAAGAAAGCACATTTAATATGATTGGCAGTAAAATGTTCGAATTAAGGAATCTAGGACCAATTTTAGCAACGAAACATCTTCCCTAAATTAAAAAAGTACTGTAAACCATTATTCAAAATTAAATTTTTTACATAAATAAAATTAAATTATGGCCCATAAAATGGTGTAATACGAAGTCAAATGAATTGATGTTGTTCTGAGTACACCGTAAAATTGCTATGCTTCATAATCATTGGGACTATTTAAATCCTAACTTGAGCCCAACAGTCGGGGTCTTATTCCCCGGTGGTATAATGGGCCCCAACTCGGGGGGAAATAATAATTGAAGAATTGAAGAGAAAAAAGCTTTTTAATCCTTTTTGATAAGGTATCCTCAAGAATTAATTTATCTGCCTCTAAAAGCATCTATTTCACTTAAAATAAAAGTTCTCAGAAATTCAGCTAAAACAACCTTAAATTTATTTTTTTGTCGCTCGGCGAAAATATTCATTCATATTTTTGACCAAAATATTCAATTTTGCGGATAAGTATACTTATTCTAAATCTGCAAGCTAGAAAATAGAGAGAAGTAAAATAATTCAATTTAACTGTAGAAAAAAAACTTATTTATTAATAGATGAATAACTCCAAGGGTTGTATATAAAAAGATTGTTGTAAAAGGGAACAATGTACATAGATGACTAAATATCAAGAAATGTATATAAGAGAATAACTGTTTAAAAATGTTAATAGATGAATAATTACCAAGAAGTGTATACTGTATATAAAAGTATGAGTGTCAAAAGAATGTAAATAGATGAATAATTACCAAGAAGTGTAAATAAATGGATAAGTTTAAAAAGAATGTAAACAACTGAATAATTACCAAGAAGAGTAAACAAAAAGGATAAGTGCAAAAAGAATGTAAGTAGATGATTAGTTACCAAGAAGAGTATAAAAAAGGATAAGTGTAAAAAGAATGTAAATAGATGAATAATTACAAAGGAGTGTAAATAATAATAATAATAATAATAATAATAATAATATCAATAATAATGATAATAATGTAAGGATAGTTGTAAATGAATGTAAATAGCCGAATAGTTACCAAGTAGTAAATATTAAGGTTAAATGTAACTAGAATGTAAATAGTTAAAAAGAAGAGTAAATAAAAGGATAGTTGTAAAAGAAGTATATATAAAAGGCTGACTGTAAAAAATGGTTACCAAGAAGTGTATCAGATATATGCTTGTTCTTGTCTTTTCTATGAAGGAATGTAAGAGAAGAAACTTGATAAACACAATTATCTCGGTCAATAAAATAAACTTCATCAGCTCCATCTATCAGCATCATGTATCTACCACAACACAATCTCATTTATTTAACACTAGCTGAAGGGCCCGGCGTTGCCCGTGGAAAAAAAATAATAAAAAAATTTGAATTTATTTGCCTATAGCACTCACGAGTGTCCAGCAAAAAATTCAGCCCAATCGGTCCAGCCGTTTGGCCGGCTATACACAACAAATATACGAATGTCTCATTTTATTATATAGAATAACAATAATATGATAATCTTATGAGGAAAAAAATGTAATAATGGAAATTCTTAAACGAGATGAAATAATCTTGATGTATTCTTTAACGAAGGCCGCAGGCTAGAAATCAGAAATCAGAAATCAGAAATCAGAAATCAGAAATCAGAAATCAGAAATCAGAAATCAGAAATCAGAAATCAGAAATCAGAAATCAGAAGAATCAGAAGAATCAGAATAATCAAAAATCAGAGGAATCAGAAATCAAAAGTCAAGTAAAAAAAATTAGTTTTTTTAACGCGAAAATTTAGTTTCCCGGTAAAATCGACAAGGTGCAGGTATACGGCGGAAGTAATTATAAGTAAATATAATAGTAGCTTGTGAACCCAGTTTTCTCTTCAAAAGTTACCTACGATACTTGAAAATTCTAAAATAAGCTAGGAACAGTCCCGCAGTTCTACCAAGGTCATCAATTAAATGTAATCAATCAAGGGGTTCCTGAGTTATTACAGGACATAGAACCGGTTAGAAAAAGAGAAAACTACTTCTATTTTTATTTTAGACTAGCTTGGAAGCCCATCTTTACCTGGAAACTAAACTTTCTCTAAAATATGTATGTCAATATTTAAGATGCCAGTAATTAGGCATAAAGAAATAAACGATAATCAATCAATCAATCAATCAATCAATCAATTCTCCAAAATATTCAAATCAGACATATTAAACCAAATTACGAACACTCCTCTGGTTCTTCTCAACAGTCAAGGGGTTCCTGAGTTATGACGGGAAATACAAACAGAAGAACAGAGCGGAAAACTTTAGAATGGTGGATATCGAGATAAATGCGTGATCCTCTCTTTTTCTAAATATCGAGACTAACCTAATATTGTACTTATATCCTGAAAAGTGTATACAATTCAACCAATCAGAGTCGCGTATATGAAGCCGATAAATTTGAAATTTTACACGCCATTTGAGATTATATACAGAAATGGGAGGAACTCTTTAATTAAGAAAAACAGGTTTTTACTATATCCCAGAAAGAACGGTTTAAGAAGAAAATCAAAAGTTTGTCCAGTGGATACTCAGATTAGGTAATTGGGATTAAGGATATCGCATTCTAAAGTTTTCAGCTCAGAGAATACTACTTTTTATCATTTAGTTTTATTATAAATACCGTTTTTCTGTCATAAAACCGCTTTGTGTTCGTCAAATCAATCCACAGACCAATCTTAACCTTAAATATAATTTATATTCTCATATTATTATGAAATTATAATAAAAATTTTAAAATATAATTAATTAAAAATATTTTCATTTTATCTTATTATGTCATTGTAATCGGTATCATTAAGTGTATTTTAATAGTATGTTTTCGAACAAAATAAAAGTATCTTCATTTTGATCTTAAACAAACACTAGAAAAAAAATTCCGGCAAAAGTTTTCCGTACACATGATACCAATTACAATAATATTTATATTTTTTTCAATTTCATGCCACTTATTTAAAAGCAGGTCGATAAAGTTACTGATTACCCAGGTGTAGGGCGATAAAGTAACTTTATCACCCTACAACGGAAAATATTAGGTGTTATAAATTCCCTCAAAATTCGATAAAATGTCTTCTGTCAAGAAATGATATGATTTATTAATTTTTTTATATTTTAATCCACACTATTACTACGGATTGTACCTTATGTTGCTTCATACTGTTGAAAAGCATAATGGGGGTGAAACGGTTTTCCGGTGGTACCTGTAATATACAGCTAAACGTAACCCCTTGGACCTAATGCGTTTGACAAAAAAATAATAAAATTTTTAAAAATATATATAATAGGTGACAAATATGTACGGTTCTGTGGGGAGGGACGGTATGCGGCAGTTAAGTACCTCCCCCCCCCCCTCCA